CATGCCTTGATGTTTGGTATTTATTTATTAAATGCTAAATAAGTCGAGAAGTTATAGACTGAATGTTCTTGGCTTTCAATTAAGTGGGTTTTTTTTTAATTTTATAAATGTAGCATATTCCTTGTTATTTTTAGATTAGTTCTTTTGGTTGTTGTTTTTTGTTTGCAACCTTTTTCTAAAAGTTCTGTATGACAGAAGAGCCATACTGTCACTTTAAAACCATTTATGCTGGGGCGCCCGAGTGGTTCCAGCGGTTAAGCATTGACACTTGGTTTCTGCTCAGGTCATGATCTCAGAGTTGGGGCTCTGGCTCAATGTGGAGTCTGCTTGAGATTCTGTCTCTCCCTCTCCTGCTGCACTTCTCCCCTCTCAAGAGTGTGTGTGCACGTACTGCCCCCTCCTCTAAAATAAATAAATCTTTCAAAAAAAATACAGATGCTAAGGTTATGGATGTAGTTCACTGTAACGCTAAGGTTATGGATGTACAGTTCACTGTAAGACATAATAGCATGTATTCTATAGTTTTCTGTGCCTCAAGGGGAGAAAATTTGTTTGACAGCCTTTTTTTTTGAGGGCCTTTTCTTTGTCAGTTTATATCTGGTGAATCTGACTGCAGGACAGAAAAATTGAACTTAACCTTTCCAAGTTGAGGGGAAAAAATAATCTAAAACACAATGATACGTAGAATGAAATATGATTTCTATGTCTTATATGTTATTCTATTCATATGTGGGCTGAAATTATTCTTAGAACAAACTAATTTCTCTGCTCATCCTAAAAGTTTTTATACAATTATAACATACATAAGCTAATTTTCTTAATTCAGAAATTGTAAAGCTTTGGAGAATTATGTCTTGAAAGAAAAGTTCTATGTATAAAATCTATAGACAGTGCTAGATGTTTTAGAATTTGGGGTTTTGTTTTAACTGACAACTGTCAGTATGGCTTTAGGGTTAAATCATTTCCATTTTCTGGAAAAAAAGAATTACCTGGTTTTAGATCTAACACATAAAATACAAAATTATGAAATATATTTAAAGCAATTATAGTACTTTTTCATTGGCAGGGGAAAAAACAGTTGTAAAGAATAACTCATTTTGGGGGCGCCTGGGTGGCTCAGTTGGTTGGGTATCTGACTTCAGCTCAGGTCATGATCTCAGGGTCCTGGGATCGAGCCCTGCACGTTGGCCTCCATACTCAGCAAGGAGTCTATGTCTCCCTTTTCCTCTGCTCTTCCCCTCACTATTCTCTCTCTCAAATAAATAAATACAATCTTTAAAAAAAAAATTCATTTTTAAGAATATGACTGAATGCCACAATTCTACTTATATATGATCTTTTGGAAACATTGATTCGATAAAAAATGGTTTTAGAGTGAAATGGAAAGAGTCGTCTCTTAGCAATTTTCTCAAAATGAAGGTGGCATAGATTTAAATAATTCAGTTAAGGGCAAAAGTAGTATTACGAGATGATGGTTTATACAAAAAGACAAGCTGAAGCATTTACTAATTTAGTTAAGGAACGAGACTGTTGCTGGATGTTGAGGGAAAGAACACAAGGGTGTTGTTGCTGTGGGTGGAAAGGAGACAGCAGCTAGACCACTGCAGACACCGTGGAGGTCCGCAAGTGCTACCCCAAATCCCTTACCAGGGAGATGATGCTGTTGTTAAAGGCTTCTCCTTGAAGCCCCAGGGAAAGTGTCAACCCCATTACTGGGAAGTAGTGTGTGGAAGAAAAAAGCATGGGACAAAATGGGACAAAAGATTCTGTACTGATTTCACCTCTAACAAGTAGTGTTATTTTGGACAATTCACCCATGTGTTTGATTTTCAGTTTTTTCAGCTGTCAGCAGCTTGGAATAGATCTCTGAAGGCCTTTTTCTGCCATGTCTGACTCTGAACTTTTTTTTTTTTTTTTACATGAAACACTTGATGGTTTCTGACAATACACATTGTTTCAATGTTTCTTACGAAATTTCTTTTGAAATTCTTTCACACCAAAAAGTTCCCTTGTGCCTATGTGTAGTCAGTTCCCACTTTACCCCCATTTCCAGGCAGCCACTGATCTGTTATTTCTAATTTTTTTTGTCTTTTCTAGAAATATCATAAATTGTTTCTTCTATTTAGCATAATGTTTTTGAGGTTCATCCATGTTGCTGCATGTATCATTAGTTCGTTTCTGTCTTTTGGTGAGTAGTAGTTCTTTGTATGAATATATACCACATTTTTTTTTCCCATTAGTTAATGAACAATTAAGTTGTTTTTGTTTGGGGCAAATGTGAGAAATGATGCTGTGACCATTTGACTAGCCCTTCTGTGGACATGTGGTTTCTTTCCTCTTGGATAGATAATAGAAATGGAATTGCTGAATTGTGTGAGATATATATACATATCTATATTTATACTTAACATTTTAAGAAACTGCCAAATTGCTTCCCGAAAATGGCTATGTCATTTTACAGTTCTACCATCAGTGTTTGAAGGTATCAGTTTCTCCACATCCTCACCAATAAATTTGGTATTGTCAGTCTTTTTTGATTATAGCCATTTTAGAGTGTCATGATATCTCGTAGTTTTAATATTCATTTCCCTAATGGCTAATGCTCTTGAGCATCTTCTCATGTGCCTATTTGCCATTTGGTAGGTCTTCTTTATAGATGTGGCTATTTGGGGCACCTGGGTGGCTCAGTCAGTTAAGCATCTGCCTTCAGTTCATGCCATGATCCCAGGGTCCTGGACTCGAGCCCTGCATTGAGCTCCCCGCTCAGTGGGGAGTCTGGTTCTCCCTCTCCTTCTGCCTCTGCCCCTGATCATGCTTTCTCTTTCTCTCTCTCTCTCAAAATAAATAAATAAAGTCTTACAGATGTGGCTATTGAAATCTTTCACCCATTTTACAAGATGAGATTGAGTTGTAAGAATTCTTTACACATTTCAGATATGAATTCTTTATCAGATTAATGTTGTGTAAATATTTTCTCCCAGTCTGTGTTTTGCCTTTTCTTTTTCTTAATGGTGTCTTTTGAAGAGGAAACATTTTAAATTTTGATAAGTGTAAATTACTCATTTTTTTTCATTAATGGACTTTCCTTTTGGTGTTGGATTTAAGAAATCTTTGCCTAGCCCAAAGTCACAAAGATTTCTCCTGTGTTTTCTTGTAAGAGTTCTAGAAGTTTAGCTCTTATAATTAGGTCTGTAATCTATTTTGACTTGAAGTAAAGTTCTAACTTTATTTGTTTTTGCATATTGATATCCACCTGGTTTAGTATATTTGTTGAAAGAGTTATCCTTTCTCTATTGAATTACCTTCATGCCTTTGTCAGAAACCAGGTGACCACGTATGTGGGTTTATTTCTGAACTCTGTTCTCCACTGAAATACATATAGATATAGGTGTAGACATAGATATAAAGATCTAGATATATCTGTATTTGCCATTACAGTGTATCACACTGTCTCGATTACTGTAGTATTATAGTAAGTTTAAAATCAGGTTATAGTAGTCTTTCACCTGTCTTTTTCACTACACTGTTCTGGCTATTCTTTGTCCTTTGCATTTCCATATACATTTTAGCCTCAACTTGTTATTTTCTATAAAAGAAAAAAAACACTAGGATTTTGATAGGGATTGCATTGAATCAATAAATCAGTGTTGGGAGAATGGACATCTTAACAATATTGAGTCTTCCAGTTCATGAACTTGGTCTGTCTCCCATTTTATTTAGTTTTCCTTTAATTTTTCTCAGCAGTGTTTTCTATTTTTTAGTATACTGGTTTTGATTTTTTTTTTTTTTCTTGAGTGCCACGAGCATGGAGGTTAGGGCAGAGAGAAAGAATCTTAAGCAGGTTCCACACCCAATGCAGAGCCCAATAAGGGGCTTGATCCTACAACCCTGAGATCATGACCTTGAGCCAAAATCAAGTCGGATACTTCACTGACTGAGCCACCCAGGCGTGCCTTGAATTTCTTTTTTAAACATTTATCCCTAAATATTTTAATATTTTTGATGCTGTTATGAAGTTTTAAAAATTTCACTTCAGATTATTTGTGACTAGTATGTGGAAATATAATTGATTTTTGTATATTGATCCTGTGACATTGTTAAACTCCCTTACCAGTTCTGTTGGGGTTTTCTTGATCCCTTAGGATAGTTTACTCACAAAATCATATGTAGTCCTTAAAAATGGTGTTTGTGGAAGTACACATTACTCTTGCTCTAGAATGATGTTGCCACAACCTAAAACATTTTTGGAATGTTATTCTTTATTCAGAATTTGTTAGGTTACCAAGCACATAAGAAAATGCATTTTTGTTATTGGTGGATATTTTGCTCTAATTTTTTTCTTTTTCCCTTTTATTAATCTGTATTGAGGGTATGTTATTTTTATATGTCTATTAGACATTAAAGGATAAAAGTTGGCAGTTGGATATATACCCCTAAACTTTAAGAGAAAAGGCCCGGGTAGAGGTGTATGTGAATTGTCAGAGCATAGTTAAAGCTGTAGCACTGGGCATGATCACCTAAAGGGATTGACTAAAAGTTCAGGAGTCCTTGGGAGAAAAATTGAGGGGAATTTGAAAAAGGTTTAAGGGGTGCCCTAAGCCCAGGAATCTAGGGGCACCTTGTGGGGAGTATGTTAAGAATATTGCTGATTAACTATACATTTGTTCATGAGCCACCTGCATGCATGAAATGCTTTAAGATAATTTTTTTAATTCCTCACAACTATTATAGAGTATACAAGAAATGTCTTTCACAAGAAACTGAATCTTTGTAAGATCACTGATGCCTGTACCATTTTTTTCCCTTTAAATTATTTACAGTTATTACTTGGCATTTTTTTTCTTCAGAGTAATGTGATTTTTAATCACTAAACATTCTAGGCCTCATTTTCTCTTTAATGTCCAGTTTGGTATATTATTCTGATGCTCTTACCTACATTGTAAATATTACTGAATTTATGAGAGTCATAACAAATACCTTTTTTTTTTTCTCATTACTAGGCAAATACTGTGGTCTGGGATTGCAGATGAACCATTCAATTGAATCAAAAAGCAATGAAATTACAGTGCTGTTCATGAGTGGAATCCATGTTTCTGGACGAGGATTTTTGGCCTCATACTCGGTTATAGAAAAGCAAGGTAATTTTCAACTTTATACCACAACTTCCACATTTTACAATTTCTAAAAATAAAAATGAAGTGTTTCTTCTAGTATTTATTTGAGATTAGAATAGAGGAGAAAGACTGAACAGTTAATAGCACATATATAAATTTTACAAATAAAATTAGTTTCAGAATTCTAAAAATTAGAATATATTAAATTTATATAAATTCCATATACTAACATTTATATAAATTCCATACACTTCCCTTTCCATGGTAGAGGAAATACTGATTTTTCACTTTTATAAGATTGGAACACAAATGACAATAACTTTTTAAAAATCTATCAGGGGCGCCTGGGTGGCTCAGTCGTTAAGCATCTGCCTTCGGCTCAGTTCATGATCCCAGGGTCCTGGGATCAAGCCCCGCATCGGGCTCCCGCTCGGCGGGGAGTCTGCTTCTCCCTCTCCCACTCCCCCTGCTTGTATTCCCTCTCTTGCTCTCTCTCTCTCTCTGTCAAATAAATAAATAAAATCTTTAATAAAAATAAAAAAATAAAAATCTATCAGTTATTGAAATGTGTCATACAAATTTAAAGCTTTGTTATCCACAGCTTACCATTTCATAGTACTGTGTTAAAGACCACATTACCATTCTTCTCAAAAGAATAGATTCTCTCTCCACCAGGAGTATGCTTGGGAGTGCTGAGATGCTACAAAATAAACCTGAGATATTTGCTAGATTGTTAATGTGGATAGTCTCAAGGGGGAAAATTAAAAGCAAGGCTATTGGGCGCCTGGGTGGCTCAGTTGTTAAGTGTCTGCCTTCGGCTCAGGTCATGATCCCAGAGTCCTGGGATCGAGTCCCACATTGGCTCCCTGCTCGGCGGGAAGTCTGCTTCTCCCTCTCCCACTCCCTCCCCCTGCTTGTGTTCCCTCTCTCACTTTCTCTCTCTCTGTCAAATAAATAAATAAAATCTTAAAAAAAAAAAAAAACCCTTAAAAGCAAGGCTATTGAGTGGAATAGAATGCAAAATTTACTTGAATTTCTAAAACAAAATGCAAGACTTGAATAAAATCTCTCATGAGTTTTGGCTACTGTGGCATGGATTTGTTTCCTCTGCTCTTAGGAGCACTGTGGTAGGAAAGTTTTAAGAAGTACTACTAATGGAAGGATATGTCAAACAAAGCAGTCATTTAAATTAGAAAATAGATGATTATTTTGATACTGAACAATGATTTAACTAAGAATGTCCTAGGTGTACGAATGTTGGGCACTGAGAGTGACTGAGGGCAATGCAAGCTGCTCCATCTCAGCTCTGGTGGGCGTGGGGTAAACACCATAGGACTCATTAACAGTTCCATTTAGAATGTGGTAGAGAAGCAGCTGTTGTGTGGGAAGAAAGGTTTACTTTTTCCTGATTTCTGAGCTATGGAACAAAGTGGGAAGCTAATAAAATTGCTCTGAGAGTGAGAAAGAAGACTCATTTGGATGGAATAATGGAAAGGAGAAAAACTGGAAACATTACACTAAATGAATGATATTTCCTACAGAACCAGAGCAAGTAGGGCAGCGTGGTGGTGTGGGAGGAGCACCCCTGCCTCTGCCACATGCTCGCCAGGTGATTGCTGGCCAGTCATTTCACTTCTGTAACCTCCGTGGGTTGGTTATGAAGACGGACTCTAATACATGTGTAGGGTCTGTAAGCACAAGACACCATAGGCAAGAAACAAATGTCAGTTTCCTCCTTTCACCACTGTACACACACACACACACACATACACGCACACACACACACACACACTCGTTCCCCACCATCAGGAGAGTAAGATAAAAAACACTGAGGGAGATGATGGTAGATTCTCATTCTTTCAGTTTTATTTCTTGAAAGTCTGGAGTTGATAGATCAGAGGATAGAAAATATACAATTCATGTGCTGCTTATTCTCCTTGAGTTTCCTCCTCTTGGTATCAGCTTAACATATTAATTTTTTTCTTCATATTTTCCCCTTACTCTCTTCATTATTTATTGAGTTGAAGGTTTCTTTTTAAAGATTTATTTATTTTAGAGAGTGCACGCACACACATGTACACACACAAGTAGGGGGAGGGGCAGAGGGACAGAGAGAGAATCCTCAGGCAGACTCCCCACTTAGGGTGGAGCCCGAGATGGAGCCGGATCCCAGGACCCCAAGACCATGACCTGAGCTGAAATCAAGAGTCGGCTGCTTAACCAGCTGAGCCACCCAGATGCCCCTTGTTAAGGTTTCCTGAAAATAAATATCCCTTCATTTAAAAAAAATTTTTTTACATTGGATGTTTAAATTATGGAGCTTTTTATTCTACAGAAACCTAAATGTCCTCTATTAAAGTTTAAGAGTTGACAGTGATCTCGGATAACAGAATCAGTATGTTGTAGACTTACATATGCCTGCCAAATTTCAAATGGTTATGTCACTAATTTAGATGAGTCTAAGATGCCATAGTTTTTTGAAATATCTACCATCATCGGGAACTTCTTTATAGTAAGGGCATAATCATGAGAAGTCCTCATTTCATAGGTCTCTCCTGAGTTTTTACTTACGTTTCTGCATATCCTTGCCTCTGTGAAGCATTTGTTTTATTTGAAGTTATAAGTGAATTGGCTAAATCCAAGAGAACCCTGGTTGAATTTCTTTTTTTTTTTTTTTTAAGATTTTATTTATTTATTCATGAGAGAGAGAGGCAGAGGGAGAAGCAGGCTCCTAAGGAGCAGGGAGTCCGATGTGGGACCCGATCCCAGGACCCTGGGATCATGACCTGAGCTGAAGGCAGACACTTAACCATCTGAGCCACCCAGGCGCCCCCTGGTTGAATTTCTTACCATTTCTTCTTGGGTGGCCTTTCAGACACAATTTCTTTTAATGACTCACTCATTTGAATGCTCATTGGCTTTGGTTGAGAGCTTCAGTTTGTTTCCATCCAGGAAACTTTGCTGTCACACTGAATTCTGTGAATATTTTCAAGGAACATCACTACATGTTCCCAGCTTAGCAACCTAATTGGAAATTTAGAGTATTTGGGAATGAAAAGATTGTGAAAAATTTTGCTTCAACGGCTTCTTCGTTAAACTCTCACAAACACTTGTTAATGTTATACTATGTATTGTTGATAGAGTCATGATTTTGTGTGAGATAGACTAATTTTCATGCCTTTATGCAAGAGCACATAGCAAAATTATATTTCCTTCAGTGCCTTATTTCCTGCAATATGCCCAGCACTGGGAAAACAGCAGTAAATAAGACACAATTATCTCTTCATGGGGCTTACAGTACAGGATTGGGAAAAGACATTAAATACATGGTAGCTCAATTGCAGTTATGACAAGTATGATGAAGGTCAAGTTCCAACAATAGGAGGCCAGAAGGGTGGGAGGAGTGGGAGATTATAAAGAGCCTAATTCTTACAGGAAGTCGCTTTTAAGCAGAGAACTGAAGGATCAATTGGGAGGTTCTAGATAGACAAAGAAGAAAAAGAAAAACATTCTAGGGAAGAGAACAAAAGATGCAAAGGCCCTGTGGTGGGAAGGAGCTTTGGAGGAGCCAGAAAAGAAGCTGGTACAGCTAAGGTGGCATTGACTGTGTGGTGAGTACGTCACGTTATTCAGGTACTTGTAGAAAGTGTCAGGGTTGGAGTTTATTCCAAAGAGTGTGTGGAAGCTGTTAGAGCTGAGTAGTGATATGACTGGATTTGTGTTTTTGTTTATTCTTATGATCTTCCCTGCTCTGTGAAGAGTCGGTTGAAGACAGTGAGGAATAATAGTAGGGAGTCCAGTGAAGAGGCTATTAGAGGACACAGGGTCAGAAATGATTGAATTAAGAGGTCTTGTTACAAATATAACTCTAGAATTAAGCCAGATTCTAATCTGTCTAAAGACTTGAGAAACAGACATATCTTCTACAAGAAAACATTTTAAAGAATTAGGATTCTTCCTATATGAGTTTCAGTTGTAGTAAGAGGCTTTGGACACAAGCCCTCTTGTATGAATTGGAACTCCTTTAATACCCAGGTTGTGTCTAGGGCACTTTACTTGGTGTCCTCTTTGCTTTTGTGTCCAGTTTTCATAAATTTCATGGTTCTATTCCTTTCAGTTAGGTTTAATGATCTTTGAGCAGTAGTATACACTCTTTTCCATTACCAGTTATCTCTTTTAATTTTTACCTGTAAACCTCAATTTTGAAAGATTATATCTGCCAGTGAAAAGTTTTTCTGTTTCCCCATTGGATAGCAAGGAAAGACAAATTAAAACAACTATTAGCACATGCAGTAATTATTAGAGGACCGGTATTTCTACTCTGAGTTGGTATAATTACATCAGATTCCAACTAGACTTTCTGAAATTGAAATTTTGTTTAAAGATTTATTCATTTATTTTTTAATATATTTTTAATTTAAATTCAATTCATTAACATATAGTATATTATTAGTTTCAGAGGTAGAGGTCAGTGATTCATAAGTCTTATATAAGACCCAGTGCTCATTATGTCACATGCCCTCCTTGATGTCCATCACTAGTTACCCCATCTCCTACCCCCCTTCTCTCAGTTTGTTTCCTATGATTAAGAGTCTCTTATGGATTGTCTCCCTTTCTGATTTCATCTGGTTTTATTTTTCTCTCCCTTCCCCAGTGGTCCTGTGTTTCATTGCTTAGATTCCACATATGAATCAGGTCATATAATTGTCTTTCTCTGATTGACTTATTGCACTTAGCATAATACCCTCTATTTCCATTCACATTGTTTCAAATGGCAAGATTTCATTTTTTTTTTGATGGCTGAGTAATATTCTATTGTACATGTATACCACATCTTCTTTATCCATTCATCTGTTGGTGGACTTCTGGGCTCTTAACATAGTTTGGCTATTGTGGACATTGCTGCTGTAAACATTGGGGCACACGTGCCCCTTCGGATCACTACATTTGTATCTTTGGGGTAGATACCTAGTAGTGCAATTGCTGGGTCATAGGGTAGCTCTATTTTCAACTTTTTGAGGAAC